TAATAGCTAATACTAAGTATACTTTACTAAATAACCTATTACTAATAAACTAATCTTCCTGCTATTAATACTATAATTATTATTTAATAGAGCTTATTTATAAGATAAGAAGTTCTAATCTATTCTAAATATCTTAAAGAATAATCTACTAAGATATTCTAATATTATACTAGCTAACTATAAATATATTAGTCTATATCTAAGATATTAAGACTAACTTTATATACCTAACTATAATAAGATAAAAGCTAAAATACTAAGATTCTATTATAAAAATCCTGCTACTAAATATTTTAAAAAAATTAAAATATATAAATTAATATTATATAAATATTTCTAGCCTAGAATTTATAAGTATATTAATTAATAGGTCTAGAATTATTATTTCTACTACTAAATTATTTCTTTCTAAGAAATAAAATAAGAAATATTAAGATTTTTATTAATTTCTAAATATGCCTGGTAAGATATAAGCATAGACTTTATTATATATTTATTACTAAATAATAATTATAATATTATTCTAATTATAATTAATTATTTAATAAAGATAAAGTACTTCCTCCCCTATATTAGAATAATTAATATTAAAAAAGTAGCTAATTTATTCCTTAAGTATATTTAAAAGCTCTATAATATTCCTAAAATAATTATATTAAATTATAGAGTCTAGTTTATTATTATCTTTTAAAAATACTTAATATCTTATTTAAAGATTTATAATTTATTATTTATTACTTATTATTCTAAGATTAATAGCTAAACTAAATATATTAATATTATCTTAAGATAATATTTATAAGTATATATATTATATTTATAAAATAATTAGTTTAAATAATTATTAATAGTTAAATTTATTACTAACTCTATTTATTCTAAGTCTATAAGAATATTATTATTTATAATTAATTATAGATTCTACTTAATATTAAGATTTAAATTAAGCTACCTTACTATCTATCTTACTAAAAAAAATATTAAGAAGTTTACTAATATTATATATAAGATTTATAAATTTATTTATATTAAGATTTTATTTACTTAAGCCTATTATAAAGTATAAGCTAATTACTAAAGATAATCTATATATTATTATACTATAGGGTAAGAAATCTAGCTAGATACCTATAATATCTAAATACTCTATCTATAGAAGAAGTTAGACTAGAAGAACTTTAGGCTATATTATATTAAGAGAATTATTAGCTTATATATTTATAAACTTAAACTACCTAAAAGTATAAGAATCTATCTTATATTTAATATATCTTTATTCTATTCTATTACTAATAATCTTTTATTTAATTAATATCCTAATCTGCTACTACTTATTAAAGTAGAAGAATTAGAAGAATAAGAAGTTAAGAAAGTCCTTAATTTTTAATAAATTTATTAAGGCTATAATAAATCTAAGCTATAATATACTATTAAGTAAATTAGATATAATAAGCTAATTAAAGAGCTTGCTAAATATCTAAAGAATACCTACTAACTAGTAAATAATTACTACCTCTATTATCCTAAGAAACCCTGGCTAATTCCTTCCTAGTCTTAATAAAGCTTAATCCTAAGAAGGGAGGTACTATTATAGTATAAAGCTATAATATCTATTTAGTTAAATTCTACCTTAATTATCTACCTTTATTCCTATATTTAAGCTATATTATCCTTAATCTTATTATAGCTCTTTAAGCTACATCCTGTCTATTACCTAATATCTACTGTTCTGCTGTTCTGTCTGGTTAGCTCCTAGTCAATGAATATCTGAATCCGACTCTGCCCCCTGACAATATAGAGATAATTAAAAATACCTTGCTTAACTTATTTACCCTCCTAGAAAGGCAATATAATATCAAACCCCAAGTAATTAAGTTAGATAGTAAAATAAAGGAATAGTTAGAAGACTTTATATAATCTAAAGAAGCAAGACTTGACTACTCTACTCTATATATACCAGCCTAAAATAGAGGCATAGAGTACTTAGGGAGTATAATAAAAGAAAAAATATATATAATAAAATAAGGAGTAAAATTACTTATATTTTTATAATCTAAATATATTTATATAGTAGTATATTTATATAACTAAATACCTAAATATTAGGTAGGATAAAAAATATTAATTAATTAATTCTATATTTATATTACTTACTAAGATAGAGTAGTAATAAAATATAAGAAACCTTAAGGAACTTACCTAAAGGTATATAATTATAAGATATTTATAATAATTAAATTACAAGTAACTATAATAATAAAATATAGAAAGTAGTTTAATTTAAGAGTATTTATAAAATATATAGTAGGATATAAATCTACTAATATCTATTAAATATAGAACTTAAGGAAGGAAAGGAAGATTATCTATATAAGAAATATTATATTTAATAAGGAAGAATTCTTCTTAAGAGATAGAGATATATTTATTTAAGTAATAAAGAATAACTTCCTGATAATTAAAATTAATAAATTTAAATAAATAATTAAGGATATTAAAGTTAAAACCTATATTCTAATCTAAGAAGTATTAAATATAGATCACCCTATAATAAAAGATATTCTAGAAAATAATTTTAACTTACTTAATTATTTAGTTTAAATATTAAGATTAGTACTTAAAGCTATGGATAAGGATAAGAATACTAATATAAATAAGTAAATAGCCTATCTAATACTACTAGGTAGCAGCCTAGAATAGTTAGTAGCAATGTTGGCAGGTGCTTACTAATATAAGACAACCAAAATTAAAGAAGAAATTAAGCCAAATAGAAGCTACTAAATTGCATGGAAATCAGTATTTATAGTAGGGAGGTTAATATAACTAACCTAATAAGATAGAATACTAGCCTTTAAGGTAGAAATATAAAGATAGAATAAGTAACTAAAGAGTCTAATTAAAACTTATCTAGATTAATTACTAATCCTTCTAAAGATATATTACTAAGTTAAAAACTACTTATTATCTAAAGAATTTATAAAGGTAGAACAGGACTACCTAGCTAGCCATAAAATAATAAAAATATAGATAAAAATAGATAAACCTAAGTATATAAAAGTACTAGAATATAAATAAGTATATATATATAAAAATAATTAAAATAGTAACCTAACTAAATATAAAGCATGCCTAATAATAAGAGAAGATTAATAAGAGAATTTAATAAAGGACTTATATATTATAATTCTAGTAGTAAGATCCTTCTAAATCTTCCTGGTAGTAGTAGCCTAATTTAATCTAGAATTAAAGTAATATAATATTATAAATATATTTATTAATATAGATAATAATAAGGAAATATATATAAAAATATCTCTAAAATATTAAAAACTAGATAAAGTATTAAAGCTAAAAAAAGTATTATATAGACTTAAATAGTCCCCTTATTTATAGTAGATAACTTTCTAAAAGATCCTAAAGTTACTAGAATATAAACCTATCTTATATAAATTATATTATATTACTAGAGGTAAGATCCTAATATTCTTTTATATAGATAATATTATATTTATCTATTATTAAAAATTATTAGTATAAATACAGGCTACCACACAAGAGCTTTAGGACTAATTTAAGATAATAAGAGGAAATAACCTATAATAGTTCCTAGAAATAAAGATTACCTAGAATAGAGAGAATAAGCTTATCTAACTAGATTAGTTAATATATATTAATAAAATTACTAACCTAGTAGATAAAAAGAAAGATCTAGATACTACTCCTATATTAGTAAAAATAGTATCCTAGAAAGATTAAGATAGAGTATCTTACTTATATACCTAATAATATTAATAGAAGATAAGATTTATAATATATATAATAGTTATAACTTAACTAAATATTATATTTATAGTATTCTAGCTATTTTAATATCTTATAAACCCTAGTAAAGAATACTATATTAAAGTAGATTAATATCTATAATATCTAAAAAAAATAAATAAACTTACCTTATAACTTAAAAATTTAGATAACTACCTATTATATAGTAATACTTTATTTATAGATAATTAGGACTAGAGAAGCTTACAGAAGTATATTATAAAGTTATTTAAAGATATAATAAGGTAGAAAGTTAGTAAGCAAGTAATTATAATAATTTCTATAATTAAAATAGAATTATTAATATTATTATATATAGTAAAGGAAGGAATCTTTACTAAGTATCTACTAGATAAAATCTAGGTAGAGTTAAAGAATCTAATTATTAATATTTAATATAATAATATATAAACTATCTAACTAGTAAATAAGGAAATTAACTACTTAAATATAAGACTATACTATATAAATATTTATAACTACTAGATTAGGTAGGAAGCCTAGAAAAAAAAGATAAAAGTATTATATTATCCTACTACTAAGATAATTATAGATAGGTTAACCAAGATACTATCTTACCAAAGTTTTAAGATATTTATGAAGGATTTAGGGATAGTAAAGAGACTAAAGTTAATAGATAACCTATTACTAGATATAGTTTAAACCTATCTAGAATAAGAATAGTATCTTAAATTATATAGTTACAGGTTCAAACTAGATAAAATCCTTTAAACCTGAGAGGGTGTGTTAAATTAAAGGGGTATCTCATAATATACTTAATAAGCAAAGGGGGGGTTATTACCCTATATTAAGGCCTTAGGCAAGCACACAACCCCCCAACAGACACACACATCAATATATCCGATCACCTGCTTCCATTGAGCTACCCCTAGGATCATCATATATCCGACAAACCATGGATGCCATGTGACTTGGCTTTTTGGTCGGATTTATGGGTTTATCCGGTAGGGATAGAATAGGACTAGCGCTGATTAATATCTGCCATCTTCTACCGCCTGTCTGACAACATCTCTAGAGCTGATAGTCAGTCTTACTTTCCAAGTTATGTCCTGAACCTATGGACTATTTTATTGTAGGATTCTCTGAAGGCAGTCTACAATATCCATCTTCTTCCTTTATCTACGGAGAAAGCGGCTATAGAGGGGACACGAGAGGGAAATTAGACCAAGCTCTTAATCTGGAAATGTGTTTCGCTGGTTGAAATAATTGTAGTCTGGTCATGAAAACAAAGACAACTGACTCAAAAGTACTCTAATATACTCGAGGTCGTTTGGACTGGCCCGGCCGGATATTGAGTCGTCTCTTCAAAGATCCAACCCGCTCTGCTGCCGGGCGGCGGTCGATTTGAGACCGGTGAAAATCTATGATCATGATCCGACCCAGTTCGTCATTCCATAACATGTTTTCAGGCCGCAGGTCCTCATGCATGACGCCTAACTTACGGACCTGCTTTTTGGACCTGGAGATCTCCTGGCGTAGCGTCAAACTCTCTGCTGTTCCGATACTCCTCCCCCCCCAACCCATAAGCAGCATATGTCGGATCTCTCCAGCTCCGTGGAGGAAGAACATCATTTTCAAATCAATAGCGCCAAGAAAAACCGGGACGGCAAGCCCCTGTGCCTTCTGCAGAACCCGGTATATCTCTGCTTCACCGGAGACCTCCTTCCAGAGTCGGGACGTGGTCCCCTTTCCAACCACCGTATAGCCATATGCAGCGCATGTAATCTTGAATGGTGCACCGTATGATCCACAAACTCCGAACGGCGTACAGTTGTGGTCGAGGTCTTGATCGAGCTGCTCTTTCAGCAGCTGCACCAGCTGTTTTGCATCGATACTATGTCGGTCACGCTCCTGGCCTTGCCGATGGAGTTGGACATTAGGACAAAGGCCATCTAATGCACCCCCCTGCTGTAGACCTAACAGACACCGCTGCGTACAGAATCGTGACGCGTGCTGTTGGTATTGACCACTAGAAGGAGGCGTCGAATCCGTTGGACGTGATGAATGTTGACTAGACGGCGAAGACATAACTTGGCTGAAGCCTCGCTTTCGATTCTGGGTTGCTGGGCCTGCGTCGGAGTCAGATGAATCCATGCGTTCGTTCTGAGACATCATTTCAATGGGTGCACAGTCACCTCGAAATCGGGCCGAGGTTCGACGCGGTTCCTTGGTGGGCGATAATGGAGATGAGGGCAAATACTCGGAGCCTGTAGATTCCGAGCCTGTAGATTCCGAGCCTGTAGATTCCGAGCCTGTATATTCTGAGTCAGGAGGGGCTTTCTGTAGCTCTTCATTAGGAATCTGGGACCGTGTATGGTCGAAACTTGTCTCCCATATATGTAACTGAGATCTTGCAGCTTGCCGCCACGCTTGATCACGGATCCGGGAATGAAAAGATATCAGGCAGAGGCATAATACCCTAGCGATCGTGGTTTTCGGTTGCAGAATGATATCGGGATCCTCTAAATCCACGTCGAGATTGGGTTCACAGGGGTAATAATAAAGCGTACTGGGTTCGTCATGTGGAACGCGGAGAAGAATTAAAGACAACCCGTTCGTGATATAGGAATATTCCAGCCCCTCTTGAATCATAACGTGATATTCCTGAGTTAACACAGAGCCAACCAGCTGTTCCGCGTTATACTTCAGCTTTTTATCCATATCGGTAGGTATTTTGTTCTGGTTGACGACATCCTTCCAAAAGTCCATGGATCGAAGGCCCGACCGTACATCCTCTATCCTGAGCTTATGCGGCGGTTTGTACTCGACTGTGGTCAGTAAGGTATTGGTAGTGCCGTCAACTCGATGGATACAAAACTGATCCGGTCTTGGATGTTGTGTACTTGATAGATCAACCGCTTCTATATCGTCATCGTCGTCTTGTGGTTCATCTAGGGTATTCGCATGATTCTCAAAAATAATTCCATCGCCAAGCTGGAATTTCTCTCGGGCGGCCGGTATCTTGCACAGTTCGGCTATAATATCATGGACATGATCTTCAACAGCGAATCGCTCGTAACTCTCAAGATCCTTTTCACTTCGCAGCTTTCGGCGGGAAAAGCGTCGACTGAGGCCGTGCAGTTCAACTAGGGGTGCAAATAGTTGGGGTCCATCTTCTCCTGTTGGTTGCAGGTAAGTATAAACCGCATCAAATATTTCTTGCTGCTGTGCTGGACAGTCCGACCAGTAGCGAAGTTGTGTTGGGCAGTATTTGCCAGTAGGTGGTGGGATCTTCCCCTTCGTGGACTTAGCTGGCGTGCCGACTTTCAATGGAAGAGAAAGTAAATTGTGACAAGCTTGAACAAACACCCTAAAAGCTGTCGGTTGGGTATGCACTTCTGCTTGCTTTCGTAACTCTGCTTCTTGTTTCTCTCGGTGTTGTGCCTGTTTCTCTCGATCTTGTGCCTGTTTCTCTCGATCTTGTGCCTGTTTCACTCGGTCTTCTGCCTGTTTCACTCGGTCTTCTGCCTGCCTTCGTAATTCTGCTTCCTGCCTTCGTTCCTCTTCCACTTTGAGGAAGAGAGCCTTGTAATCTGGCGATCTATTACCAGCCATAATATCTCGGTAATGGGTTGGATGGAGGTTCAGTTCAGAATGTTGTGAGGGCGATCCTGGCATTGAGTAGAAAGCCTCGGGAACGGTCCACGGATAACAATAGCCAATCAGAGGAAACCAGGCCAAGTAGACATTTGACACCTTTTTAGCTCAGCGGGGCAATTACAGAGAAAGTTGTACCTTTTTAATAACTAAAGGTAGTTAACTTGTTAACTACAGAGACCTAAGTTAGTTAGTTAACAACTACTTATCAGTAAGGCAATTGAGTACCTGATTGTCCAGGCATCACCTCTCAACACCACTCTGCTATGATACATATTGTACCTGCCTGGCGTTTGCTTTAGCGTGTGTATATATATATATATACTAGCCTTAAATCCTCGCTACGCTCGGTGGCTTGTTAGGGCATATGGCAAACTAATAGTATAGTCTTAATTATAGTATGATAGCTACTATATTAATATAAGTATGGAAGTTAGAATTAAAATAGGCATTAAAATAGATATTAAAGGAGGTATTAGCAGGCATCGAAGCAGGCATTAAATGAGGTATTAAATGAGGTATTAAAGCAGGCATTCAAGTAGGCATTCAAGTAGGCATTCAAGTAGGCATTCAAGTAGGCATTCAAGTAGGCATTCAAGTAGGTATTAAAGCAAGCATTCAAGTAGGTATTAAAGCAAGCATTCAAGTAGGTATTAAAGTAAGTATTAAAGCAAGTATTAGCAGGCATCGAGGCAGGCATTAAAGCAAGTATTAAAGCAAGTATTAGCAGGCATTCAAGTAGGCATTCAAGTAGGCATTAGCATGGTAATAGCTTATAAAAGTAGATAATATAGGAATCTCCATAACTAACAGGTTAACCAACATCCCCAGGTTCTATAGCACGGAAAAGATGGCCCTGCGGGCCATAGTTCTTCCGAACCGCCAGTGCGCGTAGAACTCAGCACGGTGTACGGGTCATACCACGGGTGTTTGAGGGGGACTTTCATATATTATTAAATAAATATACATCCAGTAGAATAAAATAACGGCAAGCAATTAATCTTCATTTCATAGTATTATTCAAATCAGCATTTGTGTTGCCCGACTCTACAATCTTTGCCTGTTGTTGGCGCCTCCACTCCTCCACAAAGTATTGTATCCTCGGCGTATAAATTTGGCTGTCTACAATACACCACTTTGGCCTCGTCCGTACATCACCCACAATTCCATCATGTCATCCAATCTCCATATTCTGCATTTTTATTATTTGCAAGATATATCTTGCCTACTTTCCTCTCTTTTGGTATTTTGCCAACCCATGTTTTCCTTTTTTTAATCCCTCACTCTCACTCTCACACCCTCGCTTTTGTTCACCCTCGACTTGCATTTACTTCACTACACAATCTCTCTCTTGTGTTTATGTCTCTCTTGCTACCTTCAGACTGACATCGAATTCCTACATTCGATACTCATCCTCATCTGTCGTTAACATTACCATTACTCTCACAACACCCTCCACATTGATTCTCAACATGCCCTCGACTATAATTCCAGGAGAGAGAAGTCCCACCCCAGAATCGAAGCTCATCATACTAGAGCGGCCAAGCTCCAGACCTGGTCAGTCCTTTCAATACCCAAATGTCTACGACTCTAACATTGCCCAGTCACAGTGCGAAGCTCACCTTTCAGAATGGAGGCCGCACCTGCACCAGCTTCCGCTGACACAATAAACATGATTGCACAAGATATGACTGCCCTAGTTAAGAAAATTCAGGATCTTCGACACCTGGGTATAGAGGATAGCCACATCACGCTGCCAAAAATTTGTGTTATCGGCGATCAGAGCACCGGGAAAAGCTCTCTCATTGAAGGAATGAGCGAGATTAAGGTCCCGAGAAGTGCAGGAACCTGTACTCGCTGCCCCATGGAGATCAACTTAACTGAGAGTGAAAATGGACAACCTTGGATATGTCGAGTGTACCTTTCCCGGAAGTATATGTTCGATGGCTCTCGAAAGACCACCAAACTTCCCAAGAGATCGGAACCTTTGGGGCCTTGGCACGAACAAGACCAAGAAGATGAACATTTTATTACCATTTCCCACAAGGGTGATATCGAGGAGGCAATAAAATGGGCACAGATGGCTATTTTGAACCCAGGAAGACCCACGAGTGAATATATCCCAGGCCAGAATGTGGGGACTGATCCTCAATACTGCCAGGTAAAGTTCTCTCCGAACATCGTTCGACTAGATATTTCTGCGCCCAACTTCCCCAATCTCTCTTTCTATGACCTCCCCGGAGTCATTAACCAGGCCGAGTTTGATGAAGAACGGTATCTGGTTAGCCTCGTCGAGAACCTGGTGAAGGAGTACATATCCCAGGACAACTGCATCGTTCTCTTGACTATCACCATGACGGACGATGTCATGAATTCGTCCGCGGCCCGCATCATGCGAGACGTTCGTGGTGCAAAGGGTAGAACTTTGGGTGTCTTGACCAAGCCAGATCGAGTCCCACACGGAGAATCTTACGCCCAGTGGATTGAGATTTTAGAGGGGGATAAATTCTCACTAGGACATGGATACTATGTGGTTCGAAACAACCCAGACCCATCTGTGGAGCACTCACAAGCTCGAGAGGAGGAGGATAGCTTCTTCGCATCTCATCCATGGATCACAGAGCTCGCAGTCTACCAAGATAGGTTTGGAACGCGCCATTTACAGACTGCTCTCTCAAGCTTGTTGTACCAGCAAATACAGGGATGTCTGCCGAAGATCATTGAGCAGATAAATGGAAAGGCGGCTCGAATCGATGCCGAACTTGAGACTCTTCCGGATCCACCTTCTGCCAATGTTCCATATATTCTGTGTGGAAAGCTGCATATGTTGAAAGACCAGATCCGTTGTCATATTGACGGCGGATCACGCGAATATCCTATGCAAAAGATCTGGGGTCAGATTGCTTCTGACTTTAAACGCGCTCTCGTCAAGTCTCGCCCTACAGTAAGGCTTTTGGCGGACTCAGACAAGAAGTTACCGGTTGAGAATGGTGACGATTCCGATTGCGAGGTCACGACACAGCGGTCGGTGAAACGCAAGTTATCTGCAGATCAACCTAGCGGCGTCGTTCCAGACGCCAGAAACAAGCAGTCACCGGCATCTTCGGGATATTATACCCATCACTTCGACAAATTTGACAGACCCATTAAGACGTTCAGCTGGGAAGAAATCCGCGACATACGGTTGGACTCCTACTCAGCAGGGATTCCGGGGCAAACCAACCCGAAGTCTATTGAGACAATGAACAGGATGAGTGTCGAACATTGGAAAGACCCGATGTTGAAGTTCATATATGCTACACATCGACTGGTTAAAGAAACGCTATTGACAGAAGTAGAGCGGACTTTCCTCCAGTACCACCAGACAGGCCTTTATCGCGAGCTGAAACGAATAATCGAGAACTACACCCAGAGGCTCCGAGCAGACCACATTGCCCACGCTGATGAGATTTTCGACATCGAACATCACAAACCATTTACCATGGCTAGCACGGCTCTGGAGCTTGCAACTCAGGCAGCTTACAAATATCTTGACGGACGCCGAGCTGAAGCCCGTGCCGCTTGCTTATTCGACCTTCAGCACAAGCCTGCAGCTGGAGACCCCAGAAGGGAGGCGGAGATCAAAAAAATTGTTGCCGATCTCGGTGCGGACAACTTCTCTCAGGAAGTGAGAATGATGGCTGTAAGGGGGTTGACCATGAACGAAATGCCTCTATATGTGCTAACTAGTTTCAGTCGACCCGGGGCTATTACGACGTGGCGAGTTCGAGATTTGTTGACTCTATTTGTCAGAGTGTTCACACAAAGCTGTTTTTAAAGTGCCGTGAGGGATTGATCACCGAAATTGAGAGTGAACTCAGGATACATGATGAGAATGGCATGTCACACACACTCTCTATCCCACAATACTAATGCTAATTCACTCGGTAGCCGTCGACCGTTGCAACGAGCTGATGGCGGAAGACCCCGAACGCCAACGCCGACGACAGTATCTTCTCAAAGAAAAGGAGAAAATCAACAAAGCGCAGGCGTGGCTTGAAACTGCGAAGATGGATGTTGAGCAAGATGAGAGGCTTACTGATTTTGGACGCGAGATCAAGTCCCAGCAGCCCGAGGAATGGGGTCTGCGTTCCCCAGCAATGGCTGGCTACTGACGAACCCCTTCTGTCTCCCATCTGCTATGATTTCTTTTGCGACTTTCATGTCTTCTTGAGTTGTGATCTGTATCAAGGCGGGGTAATAAAATATATCGGCAGCAGCGAAAACCCCCCACTTCGGTGCCCATGCCCTATGCCCTAATTTCTACTTGCGGTCACAGATCTCTTGAATGTACCAGTACGTTCCCAGTCTGCTCGAAGGGTCATAAATTGGAGATATGGCGAGGAGAACCAGTATTAGTTGAATAGTTCGATTTTTATCAAAGAATATGTAGCAAATGAAAGGTGTTAAGGAGGTAATCTTCATCTCGTAGCTCTTGAGCCCATCCATCCGTACCCAATTAACTACAGTCATCCCGCGGTGGACTCCCCGCCCAAAATTCTTTGGCGCTTTTCCTCCTTCATCTTCGCCCACTTCTACTTCCAATTATTCCATCATCGGCCGGCGCCCTTTCTCTCTCTCTCTCTCTCGATTTTTTTTTTAACTTACGCTTCTGGTGTGAGTAAATAGAGCGTCCGGATACACACCCTCTTACACTATGGCCGATTCCAACCCAGTCAAGGAGGCCGAGGCCTCCATGGCCAACCTTCTGCTTGATGAGGTCACCGGTGAGAAGGTCTCCAAGTCTGAATTGAAGAGACGCCAGAAGATGCGCGAGAAGGAGGCTAAGAAGAAGGAGAAGGAGGCCGCTGCCCCCCCCAAGGCAGAGAAGAAAGTCTCTGCCGAGGAAGAGGAGGCTAACCTGACCCCCAATGTGAGTTCTGTTGGAAGTCGATTTGTGGGTATGGCTCGACTGTTCCTAGGATGCTAATCGACGTTTTTTTTTTTTTTTTTTTTTGCGTGTGCTAGCAATACTTCGAAATCCGCAGCAAGAGAATCAACAAACTCAGAGAGACCAAGCAACCGGATCCGTATCCTCACAAGTTCCAGGTTACCGATGACCTGCGCAAGTACCTGAAGGAATATGAGGGTCTTGCCAAGGGTGAACAGAAGCCCGACACCACCGTGCGCATTGCTGGTAGAATCTACACCAAGCGCTCATCCGGCGCCAAGTTGATCTTCTACGATATCCGTGCAGAGGGTGTCAAGGTCCAGGTGGTGTGCCAGGCTCAGAACGTCACGGGTGATGTTTCTTTTGAGGCACAGCACGAGCACCTCCGCAGAGGTGATGTCGTCGGTATTGCCGGTTTCCCTGGTCGCAGCAACCCTAAGAACCGCGCCGATGGCGAGCTCTCCATCTTCGCAACGGAGGTGGTTCTTCTCGCTCCTTGCTTGCACGCCATCCCCAGTGAGCACTATGGTTTCCAAGATAAGGAACAACGCTTCCGCCAGCGTTATCTGGACTTGATCATGAACGACAGGTCTCGTAATGTCTTCATTACTCGCTCCAAGATTGTCACCTACGTCCGCAACTTCTTTGATAGCCGTGACTTCGTTGAGGTTGAAACCCCCATGATGAACGCCATTGCGGGTGGTGCGACTGCCAAGCCTTTCGTCACTCACCACAACGACCTAGATATGAACCTGTTCATGCGTGTGGCTCCTGAACTGTACCTCAAGATGCTGATCGTCGGAGGTCTCGAGCGTGTGTACGAGCTTGGCCGTCAGTTCAGAAACGAGGGCATTGATCTTACCCACAACCCCGAATTCACAACCTGCGAGTTCTACTGGGCCTACGCTGATGTCTACGATGTCATGAACCTCACAGAGGAGCTCGTATCTGGACTGGTGAAGCATATCACCGGTGGCTACGAGACCACATTCCACACCCAAAGTGGGGAGGTGTACAACGTTAATTGGAAGGCTCCCTGGAGGCGCGTGGAGATGATCCCCGCTCTTGAGGAGGCCACGGGCGAGAAGTTCCCCTCTGGTGACCAGCTGCACACCGCTGAGACCGGCGAGTTCCTCAAGCGTGTGCTGAAGAAGACCGGCGTCGAGTGCTCCCCCCCTCTCACCAACGCCCGTATGCTCGACAAGCTTGTGGGCGAGTTCATTGAGGAGACCTGCGTCAACCCCACCTTCATCACTGGTCACCCCCAGATGATGTCTCCTCTGGCCAAGTACCACCGTAAGAACGTTGGTCTCTGCGAACGGTTCGAAGCCTTCGTCTGCAAGAAGGAGATTGTCAACGCCTACACCGAGTTGAACGATCCCTTCGATCAGCGTCTCCGTTTCGAGGAGCAGGCCCGCCAGAAGGACCAGGGTGACGATGAGGCTCAGCTCATTGATGAGAACTTCTGTACCAGCTTGGAGTACGGTCTGCCTCCTACCGGTGGCTGGGGTATGGGCATTGACCGCCTGGTCATGTTCCTGACGGATAACTACAGCATCAAGGAGGTGCTTGCCTTCCCATTCATGAAGGAGGACAAGACCGCGGCAGAAGGCAAGTCCGCTGCCGAGATTGTCGGAATTGAACCTCAACCAGAGGAGGGAATTCGTAAGTCTCTATCTACCTCCCCAGTGTGTACCTGAACTTTTGTCGAGCATATTTCGCTAACGTGCTTCGTTTCAGCCCACAAATAGATCATAAAAACCTGGCTCTAGCGGATGTGATGTGATGGTTTTCTTGCTGATGATTTGTTCCATGACTTGACTGGTCCGTCTATGAAAAATGTAAACGAGATGAAAATACAACTAAATTTTACACTGTCTTGACGTATCCATTCATTCATTGCTTTTTATTCAACCTGATATACATACGTACGTAGCCTGCCTCCGCCGCCAGCAGAACGGTTCTATAGCCATTTCAAAAGGCTAGATCATGTCTTTGGGCCCTTCGGCACACATGTCAGTCACTACCTAGCCGGTTGTAGGTTATCACCAAGTCCTTCACGTCGTCTCTGCAGGGAACTCCCAGAGCAAATCCAATCCATGATGTCGATAATAGGTCTTGCCTCCTGCACTTTGTTTACTACGCGTGGTTTTGCTAGTTGCTACATGGGACACATTTCTCTTTTCTCGAGCGAGGATGGTAGCAAATTCCACGATTTGTTCTGTGTTCTTTGGTCCTGAGATAGTTGGTAAACTAAGGCATGGCTGGGCCATCATCCCTAAATCTGTGTTAAAGACGAAGAAGCACTTCCTTCACCTCTCTGCTATTCCTTCACCCTTATCTCTCTGCCGCCTTTTATTCTCTCATCCCCCTTTCACTTTCGTTCCGTATAGCCAAAGAGGTGGCGGGAAACACAACTTTCAATAGAGAAATGCGCGCATTTTATAGCACTAAAACATTTAGTACTAAACCCCATGCCTCAAATATGCCGATATTTACCTCATCTTGCCATCCTCGCCATCCTCGCTTAAATTCGCATTCACCTCTTCACAAACAGTCAAACTCACGTGCAGGACTAACAGAAGTTGGGTATTCTTGCTCTCCCCCAGATCCTTTCTCTTCTTCCTTTCTCTCATCTCTTCTTTACCTTATGGGACTGAAACCTCTGCGTTTTGAACCATAAAACTCTTAAGAATCCAGCCAACCACTGTTGTTCCCTCTTATCTGAAATACCCATCTTGCTGTCTTCAAAGCCTGCTCTGAATCCTTTGATCTGGATTGTGATCTGGATTTTGGATTTGTTCTGCACGGAGCCAAATACAAGTACACTCCCAGGAAGTAAATTCAGGAGTGAGTGAGCAGCAATGAATCATCCCAACTTTGGCCCGGAGGTCATTTTCGGTGACTACATCGATTATGTCGTCCTCCCCCCTGGAGCAGCTATTCCTGTCTTTGATGACAATGAAGACAGACAGCTTGAAATGATTTTCGGACCGAATGTTGTGCCTGCTCAGAACCCAAATGGCCATGTCATGCCGCCTGCCCCTTTGCCACAGCCAGTTCAGCAGCAGGTTCAGCAGCATCATCAGCAGCAGGTTCAGCATCAGCAGGTTCAGCATCAGCAGGTTCAACATCAGCACCAGCAGCACCAGCACCAGCAGCAGCACCAGCAGCAACACCAGCACCAGCACCAGCACCAGCACCAGCACCAGCACCAGCACCAGCACCAGCAGCAGCATCAGCAGGAGCAGCAGTACCCCACGCCTCTTCCTGATGAATTGTACCAGCTCTTCCAGACCCTGGTAAGTCTTTTGTTCCAATATCTGTTTCTTGTCATTGTTGTTTTTGCCTTTGCTGTTGCGGAATTCCTGTTGAAGCGGGCTAACAAGGATACTCTCCTCTTTGTCTGATAGAACAATGGCAACGTCATTGATCACTTGATGATTGAAAATGATGTTGTCCCTCCTCCTGTCAATGAGGCTCGGCAGGTCCATGAAATTCATGTTGACAGAGCAGAAACTCCTGAGAGAGAGGCCCCTGAAGAGCAGGCTCAGGCTCAGGCTGAGGAACCTCCTTCTTACGCGTCGCTCTTTGGCCAGCAGCCTGGTAACCACAATCACCAGCAGCCAGAACTTGATCAGGTGAACGAGGCTGCTCTTATTCCTCGCCCCCCTCCCAACACTCCTCGCCACGACCACGAGCACGAGCACGGCCAGGGCGGGAATCACGAGGAGATTTTGACCATCTATGTGCCTGAGGACAATTTCCACGATCATATGGAGACTTTGGCAAATTTCCCTGAAGACGTTCCTGTCATCGTCAGAAACAGGATCATTCCCTACTGCCCTGTCCATCAGCCACACATGCCCCCCAACGATGCTGCTGCGGCGAATGCAATCCAGGTGCCAAACGACAATCCTCCACCGCCTCCTCTGTTGACCGAATTTGAGATGGTCTCTGCCCACACGGCCAAATGTGACATCTGTAACATGCGCAATGTCATTGGCATGTCTCGTTGCAAGACCTGTGGTTGGCAGACATGCCACAACTGCACGCTTGCCAGGGATTGCCGTCGTGCTCACAATGCCAGTGGCCGTATCCACTATTGCCCTATCGATGAAGATGAAGTGTCCCCTCCCAAGGTCAACCCCAGAAGAAGGGCAAGACTGGCAAACAGGAAAAATGGAAACACCACCACGATCTCATCCAGAGCCGTTAGTGAGGTCAACAATGCAGCCACCAAGCAGGGCATCGCCAGGGAAAACAGCGCTGCCGGGCCATCCAACAAACCCTCTCCCACCCGCCCCACTGCCACGATCACTGCCACCATGGGCTCTTCCAGCAGTCATAACCAGACTTCGCTGGGCAACACCCGCGCTAGAAGTAGCAGCGAACCTGACAGCGTGTTGAACGGCGCCACCGGCCTCTATGCTCTGTGTGTTGATGCCTGGAATATGGCTGAACGCGAGAAAAACGCCGGCGAAGCTTCACACACCTCTCGCCCTGTTGGCAATGATGTTGAGATGCATGATGATGATGCTACTGAGATCATGTCTGAAAACGAGGACATCGCCGCCAACCCCAGTTCTGACAATCAGAACCTGCACGGACTTCGCATGGACCAGACCAGAGGCGCTTCTGAGGGCATCAAGAACAGCTCTTCATCTTCTAAGGGAAAAGAACCTCAGTACACTAGCGGGGCCCCTGCTGCTGGCAGTACTTCGGCACCTCAGTCTAGCCATGTTGTCAAGAAAGGCACTGCGAAGAAGACCAAGACTGTGACCGCACCTGCTCTTCGTAGACGAGGCAAGAAGTGAGCTTTCCTGAGTCTATCACTGTTCACGATTGATGTGATTTGGCATGCTCCTCAAGTTGGCGTTTGGAAATTGTCGATGTGTTGGTGGCGTTCCTCTTCCCCTTGCTCTCACTTGTGTCTCTCTCAGATAATTTTTTTTTTTCTTTTTTCTCATCTTTCCTTTTAGTTTCTTTGTTTTCTTCTTTTTTTTTCTGTTTTTCTTTTTTTTTTTTTCTCTTTCCTTTTGACTCGTACAGTGTGTCGGATGATGACAGGGATAGCTAGTCGTTGTGAAAGCGACAGGCCTGCATCGTGTTTTTTATCTGACTTCGATGGAGGTTAGAAGGGGGGCACGAGCTTAATATCCAGTCTCTTTCGGAAGACATACCTTTTCGTTTTATTTCCTGTCTTGATTAATCACTCTTCTTTTCGAGCTTAATTTTTGTTCTCAGTTGTCGTTCTTCTTGTTGTCGTGAGAAACCCCCAGCCCACATACACATACACATACACATACATAACCTCTCTTCAGCGTTAGACCTCCTTTTGATTCCAATATCTCCTCTGATCGAGAACTTACCTCTCTGGGTTGCTTCTCAGGCAAGAGTTGATGTGGTTGGTTGGTCGGTTTGGCGGTTTGGGTGAGCAATTTGTATCACGATTGATTCAGATGAATCGGATGTGAGGCCTTGGTAGTTGGAGAAGTAGATAAGAATATGATGAATTCGAAATTGACCGTCTTGCAGTCTCGTATTTAGGACACCCTGATTCTGATCTCAGGTTGAGTTGGCTCATGGGGGAGGTGGTGTTAGGGTGGTGTGTGGTTGGAGAGGGGTGTGAGCCCAGTGAATGAATTGGAGCCAAGTCACTCACATCCATGCAAGCGAAGCAAGAATTTCAGGTCGAGTTTGGAAATGGTGCAAGTGTTTATCAAAACTCAAGGCCGATTATGGAACAACTAAGGAAAATTCTTTATCCAAGAAAAAATTATTGCCAATATTGTACAAGTAAATAGAAGCAGAGATTCTGGTAAAATACAGCGGAGGTAATAGAATAGACCTCTATACATACAAGATTCTTTTTACCCCACATCGAGTTTCTTCGATGCTCTAACTAGGCATTCGCTGTTAGGATATAATTTAGAACTTGGGGGGGATATGGCGGGTGGCATTTGACAATGTATGACCACGAGCCTTTGCCGCCATCTGAAGTAGTTTCGCTGTCCTTGAGGGGTGCCAGACCCGGCTACCCAGGACAAAAACCCAGGTGAGAAGGAACAGGCTTCCTGCCTGGTGGGCTGAGGCTAGAGGAGTAGGAACGAGGTAGAGCAGGGTGGTGAGGCCGAGACCGACTTGCACGAATGCGAATGCAACTACTCCATGGACACCCTTCTTCGCAGCGGCGGGCAGGAATTGCTTCATGGTGGGAGAACGGCGTGTATAGGCCCACAGAGCCATAATGCCGGTGAAGGTTGTCATAGCCAAAATGCGGTGATCCAGCTGAACGAGGGAAGGATTTTCAAGCATGTTTCTCCACCAACGATCTGAGCGGTCTTCGTGTCGCGAATACCTGTCATCGAAAAGCTCAGACATAGGAGGGGCCAGTCCGTTACCCATGAAGGGGAACTCATTGTAGATAAGGCCGGCGTCCAGACCAGCAACAAGAGCACCAGACATGGCAGTCACGAAAACCAAAAGCGCCAAACCGGCAACAGAACGGCGGAAAATCTTAAGCTTGGGGTCCCTCAGGGAGTCTAGCAATTTGATTCCGGCATCCGGGTCGGACATAAGACGATGGGACCGTAAGATAGCGAGGCCGTTCCAAAGCATTGCAGTGTAGCAGGCGAAAGCAGCTCCTAGATGTGCAGTCAAGCGGTACTGGCTGACACGAGGGTGGCTGCCGGGGGCAAAGAGATCATCCTTTAGTCCAGACTTAACCATCCACCAGCCAATGAAGCCCTGGAATCCAATCAAGCCTGTAATCCCACCAAGGCGTAGTGCCATAGGTTTGCTGACCTGCTTCTTTGCGACGAAATAGATAGCTGGAAGCACGAACGACAAGCCGACAAATCGGCCCCAGAGACGGTGAATCCATTCCATGTAGTAGATAGACTTAAACTCAGACAGGGTCATAGTAGGATTCAAGATATGGAATTCGGGGGACGCGCGATACTTTGCGAATTCGGATTCCCAGTCTTCGGCATTCATGGGAGGAAGGGATCCGGTGACGGGGCGCCATTCTGTGATGCTCAAACTGCACGGGTTCTGTAAGCAAGACAAGGCAGGTCATGTATTTTTTGTGTAAAAGCAACGCACCCTGATTCTGTTAACCTAGTAAGTCCTCCGAAAACCACGATGCCAAAGACACTAGCCGCACTGCCTAGTAACCAGTAGGCCACTTTCTTGTCGCTAACTTCGGGGAATTTGGACTTAGTTTTCGATGCTCCAGCCTCTGCGGTGGCGGCAGCTGAATCCGAAGCATATCGCACAAAGGCATACCTAGCCCTCGCGTTCAAAGAAGTCGAATTGACTCTGGTGGCTTGGGAGAAAGGCCGCGCGACTGACGGTTTGCGGATCGTCGATCTCGTCACATAATTTTGGGTTCGGACGAGACACTGACGGCAGGTGAACAATTCTTTCGACAGCCTAGGGGCAAAGCTCCGGAACAGGAGCGCAGGATTCCCTATAGATGCCATGGCGGCGGCAATGATGAGGGAATCAATGCTGGTTGAGAACAGGAGATGTTCGGCTCCTAGAGAATGGAGCCTTGGAGAAATGCTGCGGACACTTGGAAGACCGAGACCCCGAGCGGGGCCAATCAGAACGGCACAATTTGTATGGACTTGAAGCCGCAAGCAATCATACGATCCTTGAAGATATCAAAAATTTTAAAGATTTACAGTGATCCTTAGTCACGAGTACACTCTATATGCGGAGTATACGTATACTCAATCGCGCATATAGAACAGCTTTCAGGGATCTCCTGAAAACTGTACTGTTGGCGATTTTCATTCCTGGGGCAAGAGCTATCCATTTTGGGACTAGCACTTTAAGCCTCAGGTCCTCCAGACTGTGGCTGACAACAGACCTTCACTGCATCAGACTCACGCCAAAGTCAATAGACACCCTTTTCTAGCCCCAGAAAATGTCCTATGCGCTCGAAACGAAGAAGCGAAAGTTCCATCGTGTTCTAGAATCCCTGACCAGACCTTTGAATGGCGAATCCTCCCCCAAACTGACCTCCGCGAGTTCGGCGCCTTCTCTTGAACATGCACCGTCTGCTAAAAGGGCTCGATTGAGCGGTCTGGGAGATGGCGATTTCCCCTCAGTTCGGAAAAAGACTTTTCAACCTGCTCGACCGAGCTCGAGTAACTCCTCTTCGTCCTTTTCGCCCCGACCTAGCTTCGTCCCTTGGGACCGCGACCGTTTTCTCGAGCGATTGGAGACATTTCGTCGGGTGGATCGATGGTCACCAAAACCGTCTGCAATAAACGAGGTGGAATGGGCTAAACGGGGCTGGGTTTGCTCGGATGTATCCCGGGTTACATGTGCAGGGGGCTGTGGAGGTTCTGTTGTTGTGAAACTACCTGATGAACTCGACGAATTGGACGGCTATGATAGTGAAAAAATACAGGAAAGAAAGGAAGTCCGTAAGTGGAAGGCGTCCGGTGATATTGAATTTCCCTACTGACAGAAATTCAGGCACAAAACTTGTGAACGAATATGCAAATCTTGTAATTCAAGGGCATGGTGAAAATTGTCCATGGAGAAACAAAGGGTGTGATGGTTTGTGCTCCCTCTTGAATCAATTGGCGGTGCCTTGGTTTTTCTGACTGATCAGCTACTATACATCGCCTCCCGCTTGCAAACCCTGATACTGCGATTTCCGGGCTCCAGACACGCTATTCACATCTTCTTAAAATGGCCGACAAACTACCCAGTTTGGTAGACTTGCAGCTTCCTGAACACTGGGATCTACAAGCCATCATCTCTGTTCTACCACTAGAAGGATTTCAGGGGCTTGAATCGCAGGTAGAGACTACACCCACACAACCACCTGCTGGAGGTGATGAAAGCCAGCAACGTGAACTGCAAACCTCTACCCATCCTGAACCTGCAGTGAACGAATCCGCTTTTGTTCTGGCATTTTTTGGCTGGGATTCTGTTGCAGATGGAGCGGTCGGCTTGGCTGGCTGTGGTGCTTGTTTCCGGCGATTAGGATTATGGATGTACAAACCGAGGCAGGACGGTAAATCTAGTGCTCACGATCCACTAGACGTGGTCAACGAGCATATGGAATATTGTCCATGGATCAATGGCAAAACTCAGAGCGGCACAGGAAAACCGTCTGAGAAGATGGAGGGATTGCGCAGTGGATGGGAACTCTTGGCTCAGGGACTGAAAGTGAAGCACCTCCGGTATATCAGATCGACGGAGCCCATTGGCAGTCGTGCTGGCTCAGAAGCACCTTCCGTGGGTGATTCGGTAGCTGAGGAGACAAGTGATGATACCAAAAAGGCGAAGGATAGGGAATGGTGGGCCAAGATTCGGCGCATGAGACAAGTTCTGAACGTTAAGTCTCCAAAACCGAAGACATGATTTTTAATTTTAATTTTTTTTCCCATATGGTGGACTTGGTTATTGTGAACATTGCACTTTGGCTGACTTTTCCAGCGCGGCGTTCGGGGAACTTTTTTCTTCTTCATTATGCTATTTACCCCCTGGCTCTGCCTCTCTTATTCCTATTCACGATTTATATAGGTCTGTCACTTGATCATAGCAGATTAGGGAGCCTTCAGTTCGTTACTCTATATATGTTTTCTTTATTTTACAGGCACTAATGTCTACATATTCTTCTTTCAGAACTTCATGACCCAGGCTCATTTCCTTCCAACTATCGCACCGCATAAGTTGTAATAATGTAATATAGACTCAAGGGACAAAATGCTAGCGGTCGAAAGACAATTCTCACGAAAGAAGGGCCTGTGCAATAAGAGCTAGCAAAAGAGCCACTAGCACATATGGGAAAGTATGATATTTCCTTCGTCTGCTATATTTCGTCCAGCCAGGTCCGGTACGTCCTGGTAGAGATAAAAACTGAATCGTCTCGCCGTCTGCATAAGCTCTTGAAGCCATGTCTGCTGGAAGATTCGCCGCATATGGTGCATAGTATCGACCCAATAATCTGTTGAAAAGCCCGTCTCTAGCATGGAGGCGACAAACAGTCCATGAATCTTTATAGAGATGTTGCATCCTTGTATATCGGGCATTCTGGTACTCTTGAAGCGCCTGGACGATCTGTTGGTCTGAGAGCTCATGGGTTTGGTTCACATAGATAAGGTTGTGAAGTAGTGAGGCCAAAGCCGCAGCATCTTCGATGGCGCAATTTGCCCCTTGACCGAAATTTGGGGTCATCTGGGAAGCTGTTCGCTAGGATGGGTTGTTTTTCCATGAAGGTGTTGGTTGGGCCAGGACTAACCTTGTGCACACTATCCCCCATCAACACCGCGCGATCATAAAACCAAGTTTTGAAAAGCCCTTCCTCCAAAGCTGCCATGGTTGCGATTTCACGATTTCTCCAGATGTCTCTTACATAGAGGCCTTTGTATAGATGCACATCTCGCAATTTATCACAAATTTCTGCTGCATCATCCGCGGAAAACCGTGGAACAGCCGGGTAAGTGTACTTTCTATCAAGCTTCTTGAAAATGAACCAGAATACACGACCATTTTTGCCATGGATTGTCATCACCGCGGCTCCATCTAGAAATGCGTTGATCTGTTCCCCTGCGTTGAGATTATTTATCTGTGAGGAGATTCCAAACACGCACGCATACTCAACAATCATACCTAACAGAGGGACTCGGGTTAGTTGCATTCTCAACTAATAGCCACAGAGCTGGAGAAAAAAAAAACTATTATTTGAAGTAACAGACCTCCTTTTTCCCTCGCTGAGATACGTTTGTATTGATCCTCGTCGGCCATCCTCCAGATCTCAGACCTGACTTGACTATGAACTCCATCAGCACCAACAATGAGGCTGCCCTCATAGACACTCCCATCATGCGTGACAGCGCAGATGCCACTCTTGAGGCGTCTCATCTCGATGACTTTTTTCTCAGTAAGAACCTTTTTCTTATCGGGGAGACATTCGTATACGACTTCGAGGAACCTTTTCCTCGTCAAGAATGCGAGAGGAAAGCCGAATCTAGACTATAGATCAGCCCATGAGAAGCAAAGTCAGTGGAGGAAGATCTTGGGCTATAAATATTCAAGCTCAAGAATGGATAGGTCAAACCTTTGATGGAGGATTTTTGGATATGGATTGCTGAAAGAGAACCCATCAGGATAGGTTATGTGAGCTTGGCTCAATGGCTCAACGTGTATCTCAATTTTGGTGAAGAGCCCTAGCTGCTCTAGGATCCGGGCTCCATTAGGCATAATTCCTATGGATGCCCCTGCCTCGGGAGCAATTTGGTTTCCTTTTTCAAGAATAATATAGTCAATGTTCGCGCGATGGAGACAGTGTGCAAGCGTCAGGCCTGCAACTGACCCTCCCACGATTATGACTTTGAATCTTGATGCCTCCATGGTGACTTGCCTCCGTTACTTTCTCTCTCGTGCTCAACCACAAAGATGTCCATTGGTATGCGAAGGGCTCAAAGACATCAAAACTTCACTAATGATTAACCTCTTTTGTGGTTACATGATACCTCGCATCCAAGATTTCGGGATATGCCGAAGAGAAACACCTCCCAGCGTCACTCGCACATCTGGTTTGAATATGTGGTATTTTAAATATATGTCCTTGTACAAGGGCTCTGGCAGATGAGAGAGTATTAGAGGCCAGGATCCAATCCCGGTCATACGTGCAGGGCAGTGGCACATCATGAAACCATTATTGGTATCATTAAACACCAGGGCGGCTCCAAGACAATACTTAATTCTGAAGAAGGCTTCAAAGGTACAAGTTAATTTTATCTTGTGAAAATACAAACATGTCTGTATGACCTCACGCATCAGGTACACAAGGGGATTGCTCGCAAGTTGTACAAACAACCTCAACCCTTTTTTATTTCCGTTTACACTCAGATCCATGCGACAAGTTTTCCTGGTATTGGATCCGATAAAAGCAGTACCCATAGGTGAACTCAGAGGCAAAGAATACCGCAATAGCCCATATTAAAATTGGTTCACCAAGCCAGGAAAATGCCTCGGGCCAATAGAGATACCGAAGAGTCCAGAATCCTATGGTGGATGTCGATCCGAAAAACCGCGAGAGCCTTACGAGATAGTTAGTCAAACGTGTGGCTCAAATGACATTGGATAGCATTGGCAGGCTGTATACTCACCATAGTGAATACGAGGCTCCACGAGTGCTGTTGCGATTGAGTAGCTGACAGACTTGCCCAACACTGATCAGCAGCTGGCACACAATCGCGCCCCAGGTGTATGCTAGAGGCGGTCCTAGCTGCATAGCGACTGCAAATTGACCGCACACCCACAGTGCTGTAGTGGCCATGAAAATGAGAGGCCCATTCTGAGCAACCAGAGGCGAGTGATGCCATTCACTTGGAGTCGCCTGGATTGCAGTGTACATAACCAAGAGGTTGACAAGCATACCCCCAAAGATCACGAACCACTCTATCAGGTCTTGAGATGGGTATATCACCGTGTATATTATTTCCCATGCAATATCGGCACCGAGGGCCATGATATTTAGGCAATAGGTTTGGTGTTTTATCGAGGTATAGACCATCAGAACATAGTGAACGACCCACCCTGCGCCCATCCCTACCACGAAGATATCAGCGAGCCATTTGACTTTGCGATACTCAGGGGGAACCTCAGAGTTGATGCTAAACCCGTCCATTATTCAAGGCAATTTTGCTATATTGAATGTGTTGTTGAGCTCGTCTACAGATGGCAACGTCTGTCTTATTTCCACCTGCCTTTATATATAGAATCTAAACCCGGGATTCCGGAGGATGACGAGTCAGGCCGTAGCTATATGTATTTGGTTTCCACTTCTTTCCCCTGCTTTCATTTGATTTTACGGCTCAATGTGCATCGAAGCTCATGTTACCAAAACCGTTCCGTCCAGGACGAATTCCCTAGAATGCTCTGCAGGACGACCAGGGGAAACCGGATATCAAGCTAAACAAAGTAAAACATACTATGTCCTACTTCTAGGCCACTGCAAGGTTCAAATCCTGGATTTGAATCAGAACTGGCGGTACCAGTCCCTTGTATTGAATCACTCGCAGCTCTACTGACGGTCAGTGTAACGCCGGGATGGAAAGATACTGCTCAACTTGCAACGAAATCTCCTTATATTGCTGTGAAAATGATCTACATGGCAAGCCCAGAAATATATAGTAAATAAAAGGGCCACAACCTAGCCAGACAGTAGAAAAGCTCTCCAGGTTCATGAGATTCATTACTTCACGAGCCGTTATCATCCAGGGAATAGGCATTATGATAGGGTTCCAGATGCTTCATTCTGTGCCTCTTTCTTTGGCTTTATCGGTTGGCATCTTCCCTGCCGTTTTCTACGTCCTCATAGATCGACTTCCTCCAATTTGGCCGACCTCCAAGAAAGCCCTGATGATAGGCCCTAAGCATCCTGAGAGTCGGACATCTATAGAGTGTCCATATAGCTATATTCGCCAACTCTATGGAAAGTATCACTGGGCTCCTTTTGTGCACAAACTATCCCCGGGTCTCAAAGATGAGGAGCCGGTGAAATACAAAATGATTCTCGAAATCATGGACGCTATTCATCTGTGCCTAATGTTGGTTGACGATGTACGTGACTTTCTTCCAATTTACTCCCTCGTGCCCTTTCCTGGTCACTTCAGTCTGCTGAGTTTCGGAACATTTGGGAAACTAGATATCTGATAACAGTGACTATCGGAAAGGAAAACCGGCAGCTCACAAGTTATACGGACGTTCAGAGACTGCCAATAGGGCATACTACCGTGTAACGCAGATGCTGAATGAGACGGTGCAGCGGTTTCCGAACCTCGCACCATTTCTGATGCAAAACCTAGAGGAGATCCTCCAGGGCCAGGATCTATCCTTGGTATGGCGACGAGACGGACTCAGCAGCCTGCCTGCCGCAGCGGACGAAAAGCTAGCGGCGTATCGCAAGATGGCATCGCTGAAAACGGGGGCTCTGTTCCGGCTTCTAGGTCAATTGGTCCTGGAGAATAAATCGGCCGATCATACAATGACTATCCTCGCGTATGTCTTTACGAACTTAAAAACAGGGACTTGAATTGTTTATGCTCACTGCTTCCCCGTCCCTCTAGGTGGTGTTCGCAATTACAAAACGATTTCAAAAATGTGTATTCTTCGGAATATGCTAAGATGAAGGGCTCTCTTGCCGAAGACCTGCGAAATCAAGAGTACTCTTATCCTATCATCATCGCGCTAGAGGCTCCGGGGGGGGAGTGGGTTACCAAAGCCCTAGAATCGGGATCACCGCATAATATCCGGAAGGCGCTTGAGGTAATACAAAGTGAGACTGTTCGTACTGCCTGCTTTGCGGAGCTTAAGTCTTCCAGTTTGCCTGTACAGGACTGGCTAGCAATCTGGGGACGAGACGAGAAAATGAATATCAAGAGCCAAAAGACATAGTAGTTTATTTGGCCTCTGCTATGTATGTTGCAGGTAACCAACCCTACGTGGTTCCAGGATTCGGATTCCCTGCGGGTTCGAGAACAAACTTGGGTCATGGATCATAGGCAGATAATTAAAGATATTTCTTCTGTTTGTGTTTGTACGGTGTCTCCTCAACCTCGGAATCAAATTACATACGGTTCAATGTCAGTTAGATATAGCAAGCAAAACACCATGCAAAAGTCCGCATACCCAAATGCACCCCCTTCTCCCCCTGTAAATGCCGCAAGTAGGGCCGGTCACCTTACAGTCGCATCCGATGCTTGGACGTTGTGTTGCCTCTGCGGTGTCAAGCAAGACCTGGATCTTTGTGACCGCTCAGACGTACTTACCTCCAGTCCCTCCCCTCCTCAAGGTGTTACAATCAGACCTGCCCTACGGGATCGATACAATGGGTTCTTGAGCAGTCTACCATGGGGGTGAACTTACGACCTCGACTGCTCCTGTCATACGTTTCGGTGCTTTGTCTCGAGAACTTAGTCCGTATGTGGGAGGGCTAACTGCAGACATGATCGGGAAAGAGGATGTCCAAGTCTGACCAGTAAAGAATACCTGTTAAATATGGTATTCATCTAGATTATGAGCTTTCTCCGTCCCTCTCTCTCTCTCTGCAACAAGCCAAGTCTGACGATGGAGTATGCTTTCACTATCTTGTGCCTACTTTCAGGCACGGCCGGAATATCAACACACCTGAGCATCTTTATCAACGGCGACTGGGATAGACATTCCATCACTCTCTTCTATATTTTTGTCGCGACTCCTGCTCTCCTCTTGAGTCTCTTTTCAATCCTCGCCTATTGGTCGTTATTCTCGTGGTCGATCGTTGGATTTACAAGTTACTATTCCGGCCTGTTCTCATCAATTATAATATACCGATATTTCTTCCATCCCCTTCAAAGCTTTCCAGGGCCCCGTTTAGCTCGTATCAGCACATTTTGGAGTATCCCAAGCGCAGTTATCCAGGCTCAATGGCATCTGCGTGTCCAGAAGCTCCATGGAAAGTACGGAGATATTGTACGAATTCGTATGTGTCCCTTAGGTACAGAAGCCTGGGAACCTGTTTACCCATGCTTCTTGCAATTATAGGGCCTCGCGAGATCTCTATAAATAATGTCTCTGCCATAAAGGGAATTTACGGCGTCGCGACAAAATGCACCAAAGGGAGTTTCTACGATCTGAATTACCCACATCGGTCCCTCCAGATGACTAGGAATAAAAGCTACCACTCGAAAAGAAGACGGGTTTGGGATCGTGCTTTTAGTTCTCAAGGTTTCTTAATGCTCTGATTTTTTTTTTTACTTAACAGTTTCTAAGCTGATGAGAAACAGCATTAGCAGGGTATGAGCCACGCCTCCTTGAGCATTGCCAAACCTTCATAGAGACTATATCCATATCAGAAGGAAAGACGCTAGAAGTGACAAGTCTGATTGGAGAGTTTTCATGGGACTCAATGGGGATACTTGCTGTTGGGAAACCGTCCATTTTCGGACCCGGGCATGTCCAAGAAGCCGAGGAGATGAAATCTTTGGCCAGATTAGCTTGTCTCCTTGTGTGGTCTCCATGGCCCATTATCCTGCTTCGCAATTTGCCAGTTATGCGGAATGCTACTGTGAGATGGATTGAATGGTGTAAGCGGACTGTGGAGGAGAGAAAAAAGGTGCGTGAAATCGATACAATAGAGAAGCAGAAGGAAAGAAAGAATCTGGCAAATGAGGCTTTGACCAATATAAACAGGAAGATTTATCGTACGACCTCTTTAGTTACCTTATACAAGACTCTGATTCTAGCCTGGGCCATCCCGAGAAAGCCACCCATCAGGATCTTGTCTTTGACACTGAGCTGGCGGTTTTTGCTGGGAGTGATACCATTGCGTCAACGTTGAATGCCATTCTCTTCTTTCTGGCGAAGGATCCTGAGATATTTAACCAATTGCGCAGGGAGGTTGATGCTGCAGTGCCATTTGGATGCACTTTGTCCCACGAGGCATTGGCCGGTAACCCCTACCTAGAGGGGTGTATCAACGAAGGCCTGCGGATTTGCCCTGCTGTGATGAGCGGTGTGCCACGAGAAACCGGTCCAGAGGGTGCAACTATTGCTGGTGTCTATATCCCTCCCTTTACTATCGTTTCGGTTCCGACCTACACGATGCAGATGGGTAGGACAAATCTTTTGGGGCTACCTAAGCGAGGTGTGATTTTAACCTAACATCTTATATATGCTGATAGATCCGCGAAATTTCCCGGAGCCAGATAAATTTATCCCGGAGCGCTGGTCCAGCAAACCCGAGATGATCATTCAGAAAGAGGCATTCAATCCTTTTTCTTCAGGCCCCTATGCCTGCGCTGGGAGACCTTTTGCTATGATGGAGATGCGATTACTGCTTGCGACTGTTGTGAGAAACTTCGACCTCGACTTTCCACCAGGCAGAGAGAAACAATCATTCGAGACACTGGGAGGAACGGGACCTCTGGACTGCTTCACGACCCAGATTCCGTGTTATCATTTGGTGTTCAAGCGGAGACGGAAGGCGGCCTAGCTATCTCGTCCATATTAATATTCGCTTGAACCAATAAATCATCATTCCTGTGCAAGAAGTATGGTGAAGACCCGATGGATGAATGTAGAAGAGTTTTGGCTGTTATATTAGTACGTAGAATAGAGCTTCCGGATGCGATGGTTTATCGACTCGTATAAACAGCCAGCACCTCTGCATATCCTATACAGGACGCCATCGGGTCGCAAGTGCGCCAAAAGGGTTGGATTTGGAGGTTGATGGCTGCCGGATGCGGAAAGGGAAAACATGGTTGGTGCTGAGAGCTTAACCAACGAATGAATCCAGCACAGCCCATTCATTCATCTTCGTAGTTTTGGTCATTTTGAATCTCTTCTCTTATTTAATGTCGTGAGTATAATCGACGCAAAGCCATAGATGGACCTACGCCCGTCATGGCTGATGAAACCCAGCAAGCGCGCCGAGTGAGTGGAGGGGCGATGTATGACCCTGCACGGGATAGCTGGGAAGATGACCAACAACGCCTTCACCCGGGCCCCGGTCAGCCCCGGCCTCCTCTTTCGCAACCCAACCAGCCCCAGAAGGCCCAGCTGCAGGACATCTCTCCCTCGGTACGTTATCTATTCTACTTGTGATGGGCTAGCCAATTTCTTTCCAAAGAAAAAAAAAAAAGCTTTTTTTGGTCGTTTGCTACCATCATAAACTGCCCCATTTGTTGGAGGAGAAATGAGGCGAAATGAGCCTTGGAAAGTTGTGATTGCCATCATCTCGAGCTCGCTTTTTGCTTGAATAATTATTAAATCTTTCTCTCGCTAATTGATTTGGTTTTCGCGTATCATCAGCAGAAACCTGAGCTGCAGAGTTTAGCTCCCACCTTTGCATCGAACCAACCTCCTCAACCGCGCACTGGAATACGCGATTTGCATGAAAAACAATCCACAAAACAAGAACGAAACCAAAACCCCCCTAGCTTAGAAGAGAAGCAGAAGAAGTTTTCTGTTTCCAGAAGTTCAGAAGCAACAAGACCAGTCATGGACACCCCGGAGAAGAATGGAAGTCGCGATTCCCCCTCCGCAGCTGATCCGAATGGTAATTCTGCAGAAAAGAAGCGAAGAGTGACGGAAGATGATGATCGGTCAAGGCCTTCCACGGATCGTCCAATCTCTAAACGCAGGCGTGTCGAGGAACGGCATCAAAAATTGCGAAGACGTGGCCGCACTCCGCCATCAGCTTATTCTCGACGCGACGCAAATGATGTTACGCCTGTATCCAGTCGAAATGAATCATCGAATAGATCACCATCCCCCCTTGTACCCAGGCGTTCCCCTACCCCTGAAGCACAGACACGACAGCGAAAACGACCGGGTGGCGGCGCGCGCATGGGCCTGGTGGACCGCGAAACTATCCGCCGGAGACAGGAAGAGAGAGAACGGGCTCAGGAGGAAGATGCTATGCGAGTCTCCCGGGATCGCGGCGTGACCGATATTGTCCGTCAACACTACAATGCCGTGCCCCAGCGAGGAAGGGAATGGCGCAAAACCGAAAGTAAGATCAAGGGTCTCCGGAGTTTCAATAACTGGGTCAAGAGCACTCTCATTCAAAAGTTCTCCCCAGATGAGGATTTCTTGTCCCGATCTGTTGGCACCAAAGAATGGGCTAATGATACCGCGCCGCCCGTAATGGACGAGAAGAGACTCTTAGTCATTGACTTGGGATGCGGTAAAGGCGGAGATTTGGGTAAATGGCAACTGGCTCCTCAGCCTGTGGATCTCTATGTCGGTCTTGATCCCGCTGAAATCTCCATTGCACAGGCGCGGGATCGATACAATTCGATGAGAAGTGGCCGTGGCCCCCGCGGACGCCGCGGACCCCTTTTCCATGCAGAATTTGCACCCAAAGATTGCTTTGGCGAGTGGCTGGGCGACGTCGCTATTGTGCAGCAAGTTGGCATCAATGCCAATGCTGGGCCTGGAGGATCTGCGATGAGCTCCCGCTGGGGAGGGGGTGGTTTCGACGTT